TACTGGGGTGGCAATGAGCACTGTCTGCTACTCTGGGCTCTGTGTCACCCTTCTTCATGTCTCTCTCTACAGGCTTCACTCTACCAGCAGAGGCCTGAGAGTTAAAAGGGCTAAAGGGGCAAATGCAGCATTTGAAGACAGAGGTACAATTCTTTGTTCTACCGGCCTTGATTGGGTAGCTCAGGTGGTTAGAGCATCCTCTTCATACACCAAGGTTGTGGGTTCAACCCCCAGTCAAGGCACATATAAGAATCAACCAATGAATGTATAAATAAGTGGAACAACAAATCGATATTTCTTTCTCACTCCCTTCTTCTCTCTCTCAAAAAAAAAAGAAAAGTCTTGTTAAAAAACTTTTCTTTGTCCTACCTCTTATTTCTTCATTCTTTCAACCACCACCCCCCAAAAGTACTAGGATGTGACATACAAGCAAAGAGGAGGGTAAGGATTAGGAGACCTGCTTCTCAGGGTCACTATGAAAGCTGATTAAGTACTTACAGAGAGCTTTGAGATCTTGCTTCCTATGCTGTGCTCTGTCTTTTTTTTTTTTTTAAATATATATTTTATTGATGTTTTACAGAGAGGAAGGGAGAGGGATAGGAGAGTTAGAAACATCGATGAGAGAGAAACATCGATCAGCTGCCTCCTGCATACCCCCCTACTGGGGATGTGCCCGAAACCAAGGCACATGCCCTCCACCGGAATCGAACCTGGGACCCTTCATTCCGCAGGCCGACGCCCTACCTACGGAGCCAAACCGGCCAAGGCTGTGTTCTAAGTCTTACCATTAAATGAGAACTAAGTCAATGGGATTTTTTTTAAATGTTTTTTTTTATTGATTTCAGAGAGTAAGGGAGAGGGAGAGATAGAAACATCAATGATGAGAGAGAATACTGATCAGCTGCCCCCTACTGGGGATTGAGCCCACAACCCGGGCATATGCCCTAGACCGGAATTGAACCCGGGACCCTTCAGTCCACAGTCCAAACCAGCCAGGGCTTAATGGGCTTTTCTTAATTGGCAACTGGAGAAAGATACTTACTTAAAAGGAACAAGTATGGAGAAATTGGATAATCACCTTGCTAGGTGAAATTACTATCACCAACAAGGGCTCTGTGACTGTGCCTGCCTATAGATGCGATATATCAGGGATACAACTGTGGACATGTACCCGAATGTAATCATGAGGAAACATCAGGCAAATCTAAATGAGGAATGAGGAACATTCTGTTAAATAAAAGTTGGCAAGATTGTCAGTTTCATAAAAGACAAAGAACGGCTGAATATTTGTTCTAGATAAAAGGAGACTGCCGGCCCACATGGCTCAGTGGTTGAGTGTTGACCTATGAACCAGGAGGTCACAGTTCAATTCCCGGTCAGGACACATGCCTGGGTTGTGTGCATGATCACCATTGTGGGGGACATGCAGGAGGAAGTTGATCAATAATTCTCTCCCATCATTGATGTTTCTGTCTCTCTCCCCTTCTCTCTTCCTCTCTGAAATCAATACAAAGATATTTTTTAAAAAAAAGGAGACTAAGTAAAACACATGATTCTAGAAGGGTTCCTATACAGCAGCCACCCCAGTATCTAGTATCCATGATAATGATAGAGTCTCATTTTTATCTGGATCTGTGGCCATCTGTACTGAAAAGTGCATTTCCCATAGCTTGTAGCTTGGTGCGGCCATGTGACAGGAGAGAACACGCCCTCTTTCTGCCCTCTTTCCTTTTGACAGAAATCTAGATAGGATGTTTGTTTAAAATGCAAACTTAGGTCACAGGGGTTGCCTAAGACCATCGGAAAACACATATATATAATTACATACTGTTTTTGTAATTAATCACTATCCTTTAATTATGTTCAATTTGTAACAATGAAGTTGGGGGTCACCACAACATGAGGAACTGTATTAAAGGGTCGTGGCATTGAAGGTTGAGAATCACTGCTATACAGGAAAGGAAAAGGAATATAAGGACAATGTTAGATCAATGGACAAAAATGAAATATGGCTGGTAGATGAAATTATTAAATCAAGGTTCTATTTTCTGAGCTTGATAAATAAACTATGATTGTGTAAAAGGATGTACTTATTCTTAGGAAATACACACTCAAGTATTTATGGTAAAAGGCATGGTATAAGCAACTTACTTTCAAATGGCTCAAAAAAACATATAAAGACAGCAAGCAAGCAAATAATAAAGCAAATAGATGAAATGTTAAAAGCTAACAAGAGGTGATTCTAGTCAAAATGTATGTAAGTGTTCGTTGTACAGTTCTTGCAATGTTTATAGAAGTCTGAAATCCACTCCCCCTTCCCTCCATACACACACACCTCTAAAGAGCAAGGACAAGAAATAACATTCAGATTATTTTATTCCTGCACTTATCTGTTGAATTTATTCTAGAGGCCATATTTGATTCTGTGCCAAAAGTCTAAACCTTAATCTTTCAATTGGGAGGGAAAGAAATCACTTCAATTAGTTAACATTTATTAACATTTTCATAAAAACCAATATACCAGGCCAGCCTTCAGGACACTTCTGTCAGAGAAACCTAAGGCAGGCCAGGCTTTTTTCTCTTCACCAAATGTGTCTAAGAGCCTAAAAGACACCATCTGACTGAACCTATGTAATTGGAACAATCACCACTGGACTTTTTCCATACAGGAGGACCAAATTAGCCTGTGGCCCTCTGTAAGGATCCCATTTCTCAGGCAGTTGGGAGTCAAGGGGACCGGCATTCTGACAAACCATTAGAGCCATGGTAGTGGAAATAACTAGAACTTTAACTGCACTCCCCATGGCTTTGGATCTGCCCACAGAAAAGGAAGTATATTACCCCACATCTACACTTCTTCAATCCTTGATATCTAGTAGTACTGATTGCACCTATACAAATTCTTATACACTCTGGAAAAAGCTTCCTTTTAAAAAGACCTGGGTTGCCCTAACGGGTTTGGCTCAGTGGATAGAGCGTCGGCCTGCAGACTGAAGGGTCCCGGGTCCGATTCTGGTCAAGGGCATGTACCTTGGCTATGGGCTCGATCCCCTGTAGAGAGCGTGGAGGCAGCTGATCAGTGTTTCTCTCTTATCGATGTTTCTGACTCTCTATCTCTCTCCCTTCCTATCTGTAAAAAATCAATAAAATATATTTAAAAAAATAATAATAAATAAAAACCTAATAGGTATCTGTGAGCATCTGTGTACACAAAAAAGGACACTCTCTTTACCCTCAGCCTGACAGAGCCATCCAAACCAGACATACGCTGACTCACACATAAGCTCAGTTGCCAAGGTTTCCCTTAACAAACTCTCAAATCTGCAGAAAATTTAGTAACAAACCTGAGCTACAAATTCAGACATATAAACTATCAATTTCTGAGAATGAAGTTTTCTTTAAAAGATGTGACAATGAGCCCTGGTCAGTGTGGCTCAGTTGGTTGGGCACAGTCCTAAGCACCAAAGGGTTGCCCGGTCCATTCCTAGTTGGGACGCATGTCCAGACTGCAGGCTCAATCCCCCATGGGAGGGGGCATGCAGGTGATGTGTCGCTCTCACATTGATGTTTCTCCCTCACCTTTCCTGTCTCTCTAAAAAAACCTTTATATTCTTAGATTATTAGATCCTACAGCAGTTTGCCAAACCCACTAACAATATTATTTCCTAGGGAGCTTTCCCAAAATGCAAATTTCCTAAGCCCCACACAAGATATACTGAATCAAAATCTGGAATCTTTATTTTGAATAAGGTCTGCTATGATTCTGATGATCACAGACTGCAAACTGCTGGTTTATGACACAGTCTGCTGTAACATCACTGTAACAATAACCTCAGATGAAAAGATGGTTTGTTATGAAATAGATAATGATTCCAAGTCCAAAACATACAAGGTGACTAGACTCTCCTTCCCCTGTCCCCCAGCCACCCATTTATTTACTCTTTATGGGCAACTAATACTACTACTTGTTTATCTGTCCTCCCAGAGATCCTGTATGCATAAAGGCACTATAAATATTTGCTTTAAAAAATAGCAGGAAACACCTTGCTATGTGAATAAACCAAGGTGAAGAACAATGTGTTATCTTGAAAATCTTTCCCCATCAATACATAAAACTTCCTTATTGTTTTGTTTTTTCTTTTTTCAAAGATTTTTTATTGATTTTTTTAGCAAAAGGAAGGGAGAGAAACGTGAACATTGATGGCTGCCTCCCACACATCCCCACTGGGGATCAAACCCACAAACCAGGCATGTGCCCTACCAGAAATCAAACTGGCAACCCTTTGGTGTGCAGGATTGCGCCCAACCAATTGAGCCACATCGACTAGGGCTTCTTTATTTTATTTTAACCTGCATGGTATATGCCATCATACTTGATAAATTAAGTCCCCTTTCAATGAACATCTGTTATTTCTACTAGTACCTTTTGCTGCAATGCATAATCATATACATGTCATCTTGTACATGTGCAAGTGTATTCGTAGGGTATATTTCTAGACATGGAAATGCTAAATCAAGGACTATAGGTAATTCTGATATTGCCAAATTGCCCTCCCCAGGGTTATAACAATTTTCACTCCCACTTGCAGTGTGAAATAGTTTAGATTTTATACTGAGTTGAATATGAACAGTGCCTATGACTAACTTTCTAGATGGTTCTCTGAAAATACCATACCTTTATAGCCCAGTGATATAACAAATGATATTCTGAAAAAAACTTCTGTACCACAGAAATATGGATTAATTTTACCATTGCTAATAGAAAGATTTTTGACTATTTGAGACTCAAGAAAAAGAAGAGCTGGGAGAAAAGAGAAGCTGAGGTTAAGGCAATCCCTGCTATTCTTAGCTGACATGCATGCATTATAAAGTCTTTTTCCCTACCTCAGCATAAAATTTTTCACTTACTACACAAAGTTTAAATCATGTGAAAAATTAACCAATTGTGCTGTTTACTATTTTAATTAACAAAAAGCTCTACAAGTGTAATAACAAAAATCTTGCACAGGCAAAGTTTATTAATTAAAGGCAGGCTGTCCAAAGAGACCCATTCTATAGCTAAGGAAAAACAATGTCATGCAGAGGGCATGCTAAAGAGAATAAGCTGGAGAAACAACTGAGCTAGTTCATCTCCTTTATAATACACAAATACAGGAGGGAGAAAAAAGGGAACACATTTTTAACGAAAAGAGTTGACAATTTTATTTTCACATTTCACAATACAAACGAAAATTGCTTTTTTTTTTTCCCCACTACTCCCCTCAAAAACTATTCTCTCTTAGGAAGAGGGAGTGAGTCTTCCTTGTCTGCTGTTAGAAAACACCCAGAGTCATAAGCACCTTGATCTGCTGTGAAGTAGAACAAGTAACAGAAGCCTGATAGAAAGAGGCTCCCCTTTCTCCTTATCTGTCTGGTCGAGTCATTCCGGGCCGAGTGGGCACCATCATGGGACGAGCGGGAGGTCTCATCATTGGGGGCCCAGGCATCATTGGCATGTGCCCTCCCATAGGCGGCCTCATTCCAGGAGCTGCAGGACAAAACAAAGAAAAATAAAAAAGAGAGTTAGAAAATACTACTTATGGGAAACCTTGACGGGACTGCAATTGAAGACAAAAAAAGTAGCCCTCCCTGCAAAATGCTGCAAAAAAAGACACTTGTCAAAAGAATGCAACAAATTCATCACATCTTTAAAATATTTAGACATTCTCAACAAAAAAGCAAAAGGTCAACACAAGAACCATATGAAAATCATAATCTAATGATAGTAAGGGGGAAAGCACCACTAGTTCCCTAAATTGACCTTTTTTCTCACTTAGGGAAGTTCACAACTACTAAGTCACATGTTATTTAGTCAGCTCTTTTTTTTTTTAAATATATATTTTATTGATTTTTTTACAGAGAGGGAGGGAGGGAGAGGGATAGAGAGTTAGAAACATCAATGAGAGAGAAACATCGATCAGCTGCCACCTGCACACCCCCCACTGGGGATATGCCCGCAACCAAGGTACATGCCCTTGACCGGAATCGAACCTGGGACCCTTCAGTCCGCAGCCCAACGCTCTATCCACTGAGCCAAATCAGTCAGGGCTTAGTCAGCTCTTTTAATCAGTTCTATCCACCATATAACCTGGAGCTATTTTCATGGATGTACACAGGCAGAGAGGACAATCTTACCACTAAGCATTTGTTTGGAGTTGTAGGAAAGGTGAGCAGGAGGCCCATGCTGAGAACCTGTTAGTAACCATACTTAGCTCAAGTCACAAGACAAATATCAGGCAATAATGTGATTTATAACAATTAGCACACACACAAAAAATATTTTTTCTAATGCATTTTAGAACTATTCATGAATTTATTAAAGTGTCAAATCAATACACCAGCCAAATTAATGAGCCATGGGAGGGAGAGCAAGCAGAGAGGTAGAGGTTGGGGGAAAAAACAGGCAGTTTCATGGAACTGATAATGTTCTACATCCTCAGCTGGGTGGTGGGTTCACGGGTATTCATTTTATTATTATGTCTCATAATCTTCATGCTATATATATTTCCTTTTTAAATATCAATTTTTACCTTAATTACCTATTTTTAACTAAATCATTTTGATTAAAGGCTTGCTATAAATGGTTAAAGAGAAAACTATATTCAAAGCTGAATATAGCCTTATCACAAAAAGTAAAACAAAAGTATATGCAGACACAAAACCCAACAGGAATATAGGTTTTTTTTTAGATTAATTTCAACAGGAATAGAGAATACTACTAAACTACTAGATAACTTATTTCACAAAACGCCCACCATAACATAACTAGCATTCAGCATTTCTTAGAGACAACTGATCTAGACCAAAGGTTGAAAACGAGGCCTCTGAAAACTTGTTTTCTTTGGTCTCCATAGTGCATTTATTTTTAATTAGTTGCCAACATTGGAAATTAACAGGTCTAATTACTAATAAATCTAGAATTCTTTTCCAACTTATTATAGAAATGTGCAAACACACACAGAATAGAAAGAAAAAAGAGAATAATGAATTTCCATGTATCCATCATCCAGGGTCAACAATTATCCACCCATGGCCAATTTATCTCATCCCCACCCACTCCTATCCATGCCCACCCCCAACTACTCCATTATTTTAATGCAAATCCCATAACATATTATTTTATCCTGGCTAAAAATAACAAATACTCAGGAGAACTGGCCACACCAACTTGCATTCTCGAATGTCAAACACTGGCTAAAGAGGAGTTATAGAAGCCTTCTTTAGATTAGTTATGCATTCCCAGTTCACCACAACCAAACCCTCTAGAAATCTGAACTTGTGACAGATTTAAGAATGCCAAAGAAGCCATCTAAGTCACTTAATGACTATGTTTTGGGCTCAAAGAGAGCAACACAGGAACTCTTTTTACCTAAACTCTCCCATCCCTCTAAATAATACCAGCAGTAAGCATACTTCTGGCTAGGAAGCTACTCTAATACTTTGTACCTTGTCTTACCAGTTGAACTCTAGGCTTCTTGCATCAGCTGTATTCACTCTAGTTACATAATTTAACTATTCTGCAAATAAAATAAAAGTGTAAAAAAAAGAACTGTTTCTATGAAATCCAAGTTGATATTTAGCAAGACTCAGGTAAAACATCCCCCCCAAAAGTGCTCACATATTTGGTAGGTGAGATGATCATAAAAGATTGGAACTAGATTGCCTCACAAGGTCTCTAACCACTTCATACAAAATGAAATTAAAGTTGCCCTAGCCCAGTGGTCGGCAAACTGCGGCTCGCAAGCCACATGCGGCTCTTTGGCCCCTTGAGTGTAGCTCTTCGACAAAATACCACGTGCAGGCACGCAAGTACAGTGCAATTGAAACTTTGTGGCCCATGCGCAGAAGTAGGTTTGGCTCAGTGGATAGTGTTGGCCTGCAGACTGAAGGGTTCCGGGTTCGATTCCGGTCAAGGGCACATGCCCAGGTTGCAGGCACATCCTCAGTAGGGGGCGTGCAAGAGGCAGTCAATCAGTGATTCTCTCTCATCATTGATGTTTCTCTCTCTCTCCCCCTTCCTTCCTCTTGGAAATCAATAAAAATATATTTTTTAAAAAAAGAAACTAAAGTTGATAAAGGATACATTATGGGTAATGGCTTATTGATTTATGCAAGAAATATATAGTGTTCCAATCAGTATACTTGTTCTCAAAGCAAAGGCCCTGACCATGTTATCAGGAAAATTTCCTAATTAATTACATTTATGTTTATGTTAAAATAAAACATTTGAGGTAAAAGTTTTTCCCTCTTCCTAAATAAAAGACCAACCACCAGGCCTAAGTGCTTTTCATATACTAATTTGGCCTAACTGACCTCCAAGATTAAAAATCAGCAACAGGAGTTAACTCGGCTCCAAATCAAAATCAAGAAAAGTAGCAGCCCAAGTATGTATCTACCCCTCCCTTTATGCCCCAGCGGAACAAGCTCATCTACCTGTCTCTTCACTATAAACTAGAAGCCTGGTGCACAAATTCATGCACGGGTGGGGTCCCTCTCGGCCAATTGGGCCGTCTCGCTCAGTCCCAACTGGGGCCGGTTGGGGCCAGCTGGCCGGGGGCGGGGGAGAGACCACAGGAGGTTGGCTGTGGAAGCATACTAACCACCAGTGGGCAGCTCCTGCGTTGAGCGTCTGCCCCCTGGGTGCCAGTGCACGTCATAGCTACTGGCCGGCCGTAAGGGTCGCTTAGGCTTTTATATATATACATATATATATAGATGGCCCAAAGTCCGAAGGACACAAGGAAACAGGAGGGAGAAGAAAAGAAAAAGCAGCAGCCTTATCCTGCTTTTATTTCATTTTATTTTTAAAAATGTTTTTATTGGTTTTAGAGAGGAAGGGAGAGGGAGAGGATAGAAAACATCAATGAGAGAGAATCATTCATTCGCTGCCTCCTGCATGCCTCCCACCAGGGATCAAGCCAATAACCTGGCATGTGCCCCATCCAGGAATTGAACTCCTGGTTCATAAGTCGATACTCAACCACTGAGCCACACCAGCCAGGCATGCCTTATCCTGCTTTTAGTAGCACAATGTCTTTGGAGCATCCATTTATACTGATAAACCAAATATTTATTTTTCTTAAGCATTACAGATTCACCAAATTTAATTTGTTGCAATACAGTTAGATAGCCAATTAAGAATTATATTTAAATGGAGCACTAAAACACAATGGAGCATTCTAGAAGGATATTCAAACTTACCAGGTCCCACTGGCATCATCCCAGGAGGAGGAGGACCCATCATTGGCATCATGGGAGGGCCCCCCATATGGGGTGCTGGCATCATACCGGGGCGAGGTGGACCCGCTGAAATAAAAAATGGGGCCTGAGGTTAAGATATGCTTATACATGAACAGTTTATCTCCTTTCAGCACTTTAAAAAAATTTTTTCAAATATATTTTTATTGATTTCAGAGAGGAAGAGAGAGGGAGAAAGATATAGAAATATCAATGATGAGAGAGAATCATTGATCTGTTGCCTCATGCACGCCTCCCACCGGGGATTGAGCCCGAAACTCAGGTATGTGTCCTGACTGGGAATCAAACTGTGACCTCCTGGTTCATAGGTCGATGCTCCACTACTGAGCCACGCCAGCCAGGGAATCAGTTTATCTTCTTAATGAAACTAATAGCGCCTCATAATCTGGTCCAAATCCTATAACAATAAACTTCTTATGGTCTTTTAACAGTAGATCCACAAAAATCAGCATGCCACAAAACTTTAGTTACTTTATGACTGAAAAGCAGGAACAAGCCTATCTAGACAGAAGTATAAAATGAAGTCAGATTACTCAGGTTAAAGAAATACCAAAATCTTGATTTTTTCTTTTTTTTTTTTTAAATATATTTTATTGATTTTTTACAGAGAGGAAGAGGGAGGGATAGAGAGTTAGAAACATCGATCAGCTGCCTCTTGCACACCTCCTACTGGGGATGTGCCCGAAAGCAAGGTACATGCCCTTGGTCAGAATCGAACCTGGGACCTTTCAGTCCACAGGCCGATGCTCTATCCACTGAGCCAAACCGGTCAGGGCGATTTTTTAAAAGGGGATATTATACCTTCTGAAGCACTCCGGATAAAAAGCTGAACTCAAACCAAAAGTACCTGGTTTCAGATTTTTTTTTCCTCTGTCACTATGTTGTTAATTCTTTCTTTTTTTAATCTTTAATGTTGAAAGTATTACATATGCCCCCATTTCTCCCCCATTGACCCCCTCCAGCCTGCCCCCGTCCCTCCTTCACCACCCTATTGTCTGTGACCATGCGTTATGTATAAATGCATACAAGTTCTTTGGTTGATCACATCCCACCCACCCTCCCCCGTCTTTCCTCAGAGATTCGGCAATTTGTTCCATGCTTCCATGTCTCTGGTTCCACTCAGTTCATCCATTTATTTTGTTCATTAGATTTCACATGAGTGAGATCATGTGATACTTGTCTTTCTCTTACTGGCTTATTTCACTTAGCATAATATTCTCCAGGACCCTCCATGCTGTCTCAAAGGGTAAGAGATTCTTCTTTTTCACTGCTGCATAGTATTCCATGGTATAAATGTACTACAGCTTTTTTTTTAAAAATATTTTTACTTTCATTGATTTCAGAGAAGAAGGGAGAGGAAGAGAAAGATATAGAAACATCAACGATGAGAGAAAATCATTGATCGGCTGCCTCCTGCACGCCCCCTACTGGGGATAGAGCCTGCAACCCAGGCATGTGCTCTTGACTGGAATCAAACCTGGGACCCTTCAGTCCACAGGCTGATGCTCTATCCACTGAGCAAAACCAGCTAGGGCACTACAGCTTTTTTTTTTTTTAATATATTTTATTGATTTCTTACAGAGAGGAAGGAAGAGGGATAGAGAGAAACATCGATGAGAGAGAAACATCGATGAGAGAGAAACATCGACCAGCCACCTCCTGCACACTCCCTACTGGGGATGTGCCCACAACCAAGGTACATGCCCTTGACCGGAATTGAACCCGAGACCCTTCAGTCCACAGGCCGACGCTCCATCCACTGAGCCAAACCGGCTAGGGCCACTACAGCTTTTTTATCCACTTGTCTACTGATAAAAAGCTGATGAACTTAAACCATAAGTACCTAATTTCAGATTTTAAAAATCATAGCCCAGGTTTAAAAGATTCTTTGAAAATACAAAGATGTCTATGTAGAGATAGTCCTGATGTATCATTTACAACAGCAACAATTGAAAACAACTTACATGTCCATCAGTAAGAAACAGTGAGGTTAATTCTGATACATTCATACCATAGACTATTATACTAGTAAAATAATGGAGTTGAGTGCCAGCCTGTCACAATAGAGGAGAGAGAGGTGACTTAAGAGCTGCTGTGAGCTGAGGCCTGGCCAGTCCCAGGATGGTGGGAGCCCACAAAGTTTTGGTGGGCTATTAGTGGTCACCTGTGCAAAACTATTACAAACAGCCTCCTTACTTCTGTGTTTATATCCATGATCACTTAATAGCAGCGGTCGCCAACCTTTTGGACCTCGCGGACGACCACCTGTCCTTGGACCACTGGTTGGCGACCGCTACAAAGGTTTCCTTAAACCAAAGGTCGCCAACCTGTCGGACCTCATGGACCACCAGTGGTCTGCGACCACCGGTTGGCGATTGCTGACTTATAGGACTGAGTTTAGGTCTCTGAGTTCAATTTCAATCTGAAACCTTCCAGAAGAGCCAAAAAACATAGTTACTCAATTTCCTTGTCTATCATGCAGAAACAACAAACCTTCCCAGAGAGAAGAGGCCTTTGACCTACTCCACTTTCAACTACACAATTCTTGTCTTTCCCAAGGTACATATCTATCTATATATCTATATATCTATATAAAAGCCTAATATGCAAATTGTCCCCACTGGAGTTTGGCTGGGAGACTGGGAGTTCGATCACTTGCTACGACGTGTGCTGACCACCAGGGGGCAGCGTGGAATGAAGGCAGGCCCCGGCTGGCAGCCAGAAGGCCCTGATTGGCCCTGATCACCAGCCAGTCCTAGGGACCCTACCTGTGCACAAATTTCATGCACCGTGCTTCTATTATTGGTATTAAGTGGGTTAGAAAATAGGAATAATACTGAGTTTATCAGCAACTTCTAGCCTCCAGTGTTATGTTCATAGCAGTAATTTAATATACCGAGCAATACCTCTTCATATATTAGCTCATCCAATCTCACGTACATCCTGCGCTTTCCATTGAATCTATCTCAGACCCACATGGGCGTCACAAATACAATATCCCAGTAATAATGCAATCAGAAGGTAACTAAAAATATTTCAGAAATTATACCACTAAAGCTGTTTTCTGTGACTATGTATTCATTCAATGAGGATTTTAAAGCCCACTATGAGGTAATCTAACATGATCAAAGTACAATCTGCCCAATTACACCCCTTAAGATAAAAATGTTATAAACTTACGAAGACTGGGGGGAGGTGGGATCATCGCCCCTGCAGGAGGTGGAGCTGAGAATGGAGTAGGAGGTATTTTTCCTTGCTGAAATGCTGCAGCTATAAAGTGAGGAAAAAAACACACACAGTGAATAAGAATTCAACAACTCATTTACTAAAATAACTAGTTTCTTTTAATTTTTAATGGTCCCACTTATTTCATTCTAAATAGCAATCATCTAAGATTACTACATTATAGCCTCTATGGTTTTATTTATTTATATTTTTAAATGTATTTTTATTGATTTCAGAGAAGAGGGAGAGAAACATTAATGATGAGAGAGAATCATTGATCGGTTGCTTCCTGTACGCCATGCAGGCATATGCCCTGATCAGAATCGAACCATGACCTCTTGGTTCATAGGTCGATGCTCAACCACTGAGCCATGCTGGCTGGGTAGCCTCTATGGTTTTTGTGGTTTTTTCTCACTTTTAGGTTTTTTTGAAGCATAAGTTCTATGCTGGTTGCTACGAATTCAAACATGTTTACCACGATTCTGGTGAAACAGGTAGGTAGGAGACACAGGCCTGGCATTCTGTGGGTGGTGACGGGGGTTTACCAAGGGCCCCATCCCTGCTCAAGGGCTGTACCTCCTGTCACAGTCAAAATGTCACACCCTCCTGGGCTCCTGAGTGTGTGTGCAGAGTAGGGTGGTCTCTGCTAGGGCTGTGCCAGATTCAGTGAATAAGAATGCAGACTTGACTGTAGTTGGTGAACACACAATACAATATACAGATGATGTATTATAGAATTGTACATTTGAAACCTATATAATTTCATTAACTAATGTTACCCTATAAATTCAGTAAAAATAAAAAAAGAACAAGAAAAAAATAAATACAATTTAAAGAAAAAGTGCATGACAATAACTTAAAACTTACAACTCACATCAACAGCAAATAATTTTTAGCATAAGTGTCCAGCTAAGCACTTATTTGGCTAATGGAGCTACAAGCAGGAGATCTGAGGGCTAAGGAGGGACCTGAGAATGTATCCCTCCGCCCCCTCCCAGCTAAGTCCCTCAGGACTGTACACACGCCTCGACTGAAGGCCACAGCTCTGGTCACTGAGTCCCGTCCACACGACTTTCTCCACCAGGTGCACTCTCAGGGCTGCTGCATTGGGGAACGCCTTGGGGTGAATGCCAGGGTGGAGAAGAGATTTCACTAAAAGGAACCAGGAGACACTCATTGCTGGTCCTTACATGGAGGTTTCAATGGATGCGGGGTGCAGGGCCTTCTGCATGCTTAGGGGAGGGCTACGGGGATCAGCCTTGAGCAGTCATCCAGACAGATGAGTGTGCTGGGGCTGGAGTGTTCATTTACTCCAGGGAGAGGTCAGGGTGCAAGCCTGGTGCATGGGTGTGGGCCTGTGCTCAGTACAGGAGGGCAAAGCCCAGTGCCTGGGTCCCATTCAGCCCCCATCTTTCTCTGATTTGAGGTGCTTTCTGCAGTAATGAATGCTCCCAGCCTCTATGGTTTTAAAATTAACTTTAGATACTCACCAGCTAAATTTGCAATTGATTGGTTTACTGATTTGGGTTTTCTTGTTTAACTGTTTTTATTTAGTCAGTGTTTCTATGACTGAATTAACTATGGGAGATTGAAATGAAAACCTCCTACCTATCAATGGTTACCAAAGAGAAGCAGTAATCTTTAATCTGTAGATGTGGTTTATAACCAATTCAAGCCATTCAGTTTTGTTTGAAAATGTATGATACCTGTCCAAAAACCAGGCATTATAAACTTCCATCCTTCCTATATGTGCTGTCCTAAGTCAAAACAATGTATTGTTTGGTTTACCAGTTTTACAATGAATGCACCAAGCCGAGAGACATGACAGAAACACAGATTTCAAAGCAAGAGCCTGACAGGAGGGAGATTATGATCCTAAAATAATGTCCAATACAACCAACTTTTAATTTTTTTCAGACAATATGAGGCACAAATTAAAACAAGACTGAAGATTATTTATATTTTGTTTTAAAAAGGAGTCACAAGTAAATACTAAAATACACACTCATAGAAGTCTATTCCTTCCCAATGGAGTGTAGTCTGCAACCCAGGCACCTAAGTCCTTCCCAATGGAGTGCAGTTTGCAACCCAGGCACCTTCCCCACATCCTGCTACACCACCAGTGCAGAGGGTCAAATTATTCAAGTAAATCACTGATAATTCCAAAATATTGACCTAGAGTAGCTACTTATGAATAGCTATTCATTAGCCTTTCAATTGAGCCTGTGCTCTATAAGGCATCATATCCCAATAAGGCACCACGCACACCCTGAAGAAAAGAACAGCTTTTAAAGACTGAAAAGATTGAGTCAGTAGCCGACTCAATGTCAACATAATCATGGCCATGATGTGGTGTGCTCCTGAGGGCTTGCCTCCTCTCCTCCAAAAGTCCTCCATCAAAAACGTTTACTCGCCCTAACCCAGGGGTGGGCAAACTTTTTGACTCGAGGGCCACAATGGGTTCTTAAACTGGACCGGAGGGCCGGAACAAAAGCATGGATGGAGTGTTTGTGTGAACTAATATAAATCCAAAGTAAACATCATTACATAAAAGGGTACGGCCTTTTTTTTTTTAGTTTTATTCATTTCAAACGGGCCGAATCCGGCCCTCGGGCTGTAGTTTGCCCATGGCTGCCCTAACCGGTTTGGCTCAATGGATAGAGTGTTGGCCTGCGGACTCAAGGGTCCCAGGTTCGATTCTGGTCAAGGGCACATACCCAGTAGGGAGTGTTCACGAGGCAGCTGATAGATGTTTCTCTCTCATCGATGTTTCTAACTCTCTATCCCTCTCCCTTCCTCTCTGTAAAAAATCAATAAAATATATATTTTAAAAAAAAACAAAAACGTTTACTCATCCTAAATTCTTTTCCTATCTACAAAAGATAACTAAACAAGTATAATGCTAACCTTTAATGCCAAGAAATGTCCAATATCTTTTCAAATAGAGAAAAAGATTACATTATAACTTATTTTTTCAAATAAAATGGGACAATATCTGAGATTCGCTCCTTAATAATCTAGGAGGGATAAAGGGACAAGGTGAAGGTATTTGGTGGCTCTCAATCAGGGCAATTTTGCCTCCTTGGGGACACTAGGTAATATGTGGAGATATTTTCAGTTGTCCCAACTGGGAATTGTTACTAGTGGGTAGATGCTAGAGTTACTGCTGAACATCCCACAATGCACAGGACATCCCCCACAACAAAGAATTATGCAGCCCCAATGTCAATAGTGCTAAGTTTGAGAACCTTCAGGTTCTTGCTTTGGTATAAATGAAACAAGACTGCTGTAGCTGATGCTGGGCAATGGGAATGGTTGGGGAGCAGTGGCCATGGGAGATTCACTCATTAAACTTGTTTGAAACTTTCCATAATAGTTTTTGCTTAAAAAAAAAAATCACATCACAATCAAAGTCCACATTTGCCTGCCAGATCTGAGTACAATGAATACTTAAGAAAGGCCATGTTTCAAATAGACCAGTATGATTTATTTTATAATAAAATAAATAAAAACTATGGATCACTACAAAGAAGGTTTTATATAAATTTGCTACAAAATCTGGCCCACATCAATAAATATTAGGCAACTCATTCTCCTCTGTCCCACTTCCCAGTCTAATACCTAATTGCTCTAACCTCAATAATTAATATTAATGTGTTCCTATATCCCTGGGAAACCAGTGACCTTCCACTTCTTTCATTTAACACATTAGAACGCTTCTGTTTATCATTCAGAATGAGTTGCTTCTGTGAAAAACAACAGAGAGACAGGGACAAGAAAGAATGGGACCATTTTACCACAGAACAAGAGCCTGACACGTACTTGTTTTGTCAATCAGGCTCTGCGCCTGCTCTTCCATCCATTTCTGATAGTAGTCTTTCACGTTCTCTTTGTGTTTCCTCCCACTGCAGTGTGTCTTTCTCACAGATGGCTATAAAACAAAAAGATTTTATCAGTCACAGAAACAAATTTCCAAAACTAGCGATTTTATAAAGCCTTACCTTTATATAGAGGTGGCCTGGCTACCTTTAGCAGCTTTAGCTAATGCATCACTTATAAACATTAGCCAACAATGTACTATGGTAATTTATCTACTGTGTTTTTAGCCAAACAAGGGGTCAGCAAGCTGGGGCCTATGGGCAGAATCGGATTCTGTAAAAAAACTATTGGAACACAGCCACATTAATTTGTTTATGTATTATCCATTTCTTCTCTCTACAAGAGTCAACTAATTGCAATGAAGACTGTATGTTATGGCCCATAAACCTAAAATAATTATAATCTGGCATTTTAAGAAAAAGTTTACAAACCCCTGATCCTATTTTAATGCCCTCCCATGGCAAAAATTTAAAAAATAACTTACACACATTTAAGTAACACTACTTATAAGAATATATTCTTTTAAATGATTATGGGTCTAGAATAAAGACGTTATATATTTAAAAAAAAAAAAAAAACAGAAAAAAAAGACTTTATATGATCACACAAAGACCTTTGTCTCCAGCCCATGAATCCTTCTGTTCTTTCATTAACAGCTTTTTTGGAATAAAACTGGCATAATAGAAACTCCATATATTTAATCTTTTGTTTTTTAAGTTAATGTTTAACATTTACTACATGCCAGACACCATACTATGTTCTTTACAAGCTGTGTCTCAATCTTCATGAAAATCACATTAGCATGTTAAACATACTAATCAGAAAGAACAAACTACTGATACATGCAATATGGATTAATCTCAAAAACACACTAAGCAAAAGAAATTTGACACAAGCAGAGTGTATATACTCTAAGATTCCATTCATATGAAGTTTTTAAAATATTTTTATTGATTTCAGAGAGGCAGGACATGGAGATAGAAATATCAGTGATGAGCCCAGCCAGTGTGGCTCAGTGGCTGAGCAGCAACCTATGAAACAGGAGGTCACGATTCGATTCCCAGGGCACATGCCTGGGTTGTGGGCTCGATCCCCAGTAAGGGGCATGAAGAAGGCAGCTGATCAATGATTCTCATCACTGATGTTTCTTTTTTGAAAATATATATTTCTATTGATTTCAGAGAGGAAGGTAGAGGGAGGGAGGGAGCTAGAAACATCAATGATGAGAGAGAATCATTGATCGCTTGCCTCCTCCAAGTCCCACACTGGGGATGGAGCCCCCAACCCGGGCATGTGCCCTGACCAGGAATCGAACCCTAACCTCCTCGTTCATAGGTCAATGCTCAACCACTGAGCCACACAGGCTGGGCCATTAAATGAAGTTTTAAAATTAGTAACACTGGTCTTTAGTAAAAACCAGATCAGTCAGAGTTAGAGGTGTAGGGGACTAACTGAAAAGAAACACAAGGGAACTTTCTGAGGTGATGGAAATGTTCTCTATTTTGACATACCCATCAAGCTGTAATCATTTCACAGGTCCTCAAACTGTACACTTAAAAAGTTTGCATTTAATTGAACACAAATTATAATAAAATTGATTTTTAGAATACCACAAGATTATTAGCATTTATTTATGCTTAAGAACTTGTCTCAAAACCTACAGCTGCTAAGTGGCAAACCCAGGCCTGGAATCCAGATTTCATTGAGATGCTCCCCATGGCTGCCTAACTACCTCCTACTGGTATGTCCACTCTGAATGATTGCTTCACTGGCAGCAGATATGATCAGTATCACATGGGCGGTCCACATTTCAAAATACTATTCCCTGTCTCCCAAGCCACTGTTACACTATTCTTACAACAATAATGCCTCAAGCCTAATAACAAAATCATGCCTAGGAACCAGTAAAAGTTCCAAAATTAAGCACTGAATGTTTTATACATTTCAAAGTCCACCACAGGGAACTCCTTCAATCACTATGGAAATGTCGTATTTTCACAAGCCAGCATGTTCGAACAGTACAAGGGTTCCTGATGCTCCTCATACAGAGACATTTATTATAAAGACATACCTTTCAATTTTCTGAATTCTGGCATTAGCAAGGTGCGTAGGTATATAAAAATAGTGCTGAAAAAGGATAGAAAGGAACAGCCCCTTCACTAACAATTTCAGAACATCAAAATTGTCCAAATGACTTAGAGAGGAGGTTAGGGACAAAAACAAAACGAAACGACTGGGGATCTACAGGAAAGCTACTACTAACACAAACTTAATTGAAAAAGTTTCCTCCAGGACATCTATAACATCATTCAGAACCTTGATGAAGCAGTAAAATTGTTAATTTTATTAAATCTCAACCCTAAAGTTCATGTCTTTTTAATATTCTGGGGGACAAAATGGGAAATATTTTGTCAAAGCACTTCTGCTGCATGCCAAAATACACTATGTCAAAGAAAAGCAGGCATGCTACTGTTCAAGTTGTGAGCTCTACCAGCTGCCTCTTTCATGAAACAGTATTTTATTTGAAAGAACTAAGTAACAAACTGGCTATTCAGATTTCTCAAAAATAAATGGAATAGCCCTGACCGAGTGGCTCAGATAGTTGGAGCATCATCCTGTACACCAAAAGGTTGCCGGTTTGATCCTCGGGGTGTGTAACGAGGACAACTGATCAATGTTTCTCTCATATCAATGTTTCTCTCTCCCTTCTTCCAAAAAAGCAATCAGTGTTTAAAAATCTGACCTTTCAAAAAAAAAAATCAGAATTTTAGAAAACCTGATCTACCACCACAAGCTTGCCAGCTTCCAAATATTTAAAAGACATTTCTAATTAAATTGTGACATTAATCAATGTGAATTGTTATATTATGTAATCAAATGTGTCAATACTTGGAAGACCTGCAAAACTGAGTGAAATAGTATTTTCCAAATAACCAAAGCATGTTACAAAATCATGCATGGTAAAAAAAGATTCACTCAGAGTGTAAGACCAGTAAATTTTAATGTAACCAAGTATAGAAAGTTTGATGTTTTCAGATTCCACACTGCAACTAACCCTGAGTTGAGTTTTGGTGCAGAAATATAAAGTATTAAAGAATATCTACAATGCTTTAAGAAATCCATTGAAGTACTCTTCTGTTTTTCAACTCTATATCCATGTGAGGTTGGATTCTTCACATACTATAACCAAAACATAGTGCAGCAAATATAATGGAGATGAGAATTCAGATGTCTTCCATTAAGTGACACATTACTGATGTTTGCAAAAATGTTAAAACGACGCCATTCCTCATACTAATTTTTTGCTTTGAAAAAACAGCTACTTTCCACTTTTAAAATGTTACTTGTGTTACAAGTAAAAAGCATATTATTGCTACCTAAAAGTATACTTATATATACATGTGTGTATACACGAACACACACACTTATTACATATATTTCTTCAATCCTCACCGAGGATATTTTTCCACTGATTTTTAGAGAGAGTGGAAGAGAGAGGGAAAGACAGAGAGAAACACATCGATTGGTTGTCTCCTGCACATGCCCCGACCAGGGCCTAGACCAAGGAAGAGCCTGCAACCAAGGTACGTGCCCTTGATTGGAACTGAACCCAGGATTCTTCGGTCCGAAGGCCAACGCTCTATCCACTGAGCCAAACCAGCTAGGAATATTTTTATATTTAAATATATCTAAAAAAATACTTGTTACCTGAAAAAATAAGTATTTTTAAATTTTTTATTTAATTTCAAATATAGCAAATATTAATAGTTATAACCCACATAACCTACTAATTTTTTTTAACAATCGGTAATTTTTAAGAATGTAAAGGGACTATGAGACAAAAAAGTTTGAGAGCTGCCAGCATAGAAGCTCTGTAGAAGACTGTCTAGCTCCATAGAACTCACAGGTTTTGTGACATCAGTCAGTTACTTAGCCACACTGTGCCTCAGTTTCCTCCTCTGTAGAATGGAGATAATACTAACCTCAAAGGATTATCATGAACATTAAATGAAATAATACATGTAAAGCATTTGGAACACTACCTGACACAGTAAATATTCAAACTTGAATTGTTATTATTTGTAAAGCAGTTTTTAATCAAATTAAAATACTCCGTTTCAGCCCTGGCCAGGTAGCTCAGTTGGTTAAGAGCACTGTCCCAATACACCAAAGTTTTGTGTTCAATCTCCAGTCAGGGCACATACAAGAGGCAACCAATGAGCTCGGCTAGTGTTGCTCAGTGGTTGAGTGTCTACCCAGGCACCAAGACCTTTCCAGTTCAATTCCCAGGCAGGGTACATGCCTGGGTTGTGGGCTCAATCTCCTGTGAGGGCCATGTGGGAGGCAGCCAATTGATGTCTCTCTCTCTCTCTCTCACTCTCCCTTCCTCTCGCTCTGAAAATCAATAAAACCATTTTTTTTTAAAAAAAAGGAAGCAACCAATGAATAAACAAATGGAATAGGAAATCAATGTTTTTTCTCCCTCTCCCTTCCTCTCTAAAAAAATCAATTAAAAAAATTCTGTGACCCTAGCTGGTTTGGCTCAGTGGATAGTGTTGGCCTGTGGACCCCCAGTTTCAATTCCAGTCAAGGAGGCATGCACCGCAGTTGCAGACTCCTGCCAGGGCCCTGGTTGGGGCGCGTGCAGGAGGCAACCAATCCATGTGTCTCTCTCACATCCATGTTTCACTCAATGTCTCTCCCCCTTCCATGCTCTCTAAGAATCAATGGAAAAATATCCTCGGGTGTGGATTTAAAAAAACAAAAAGCCTGTAATTGCTGCAGAGAGCTACAGAGAAAAGTTTTTTTAAATACTCAGTTTCAAATTTAGGCATTTCCAATTTTATCAAATCAAACATTTGAGTCGCCTTGACACAATCAGATATTTTGAGTTTTAGGACAATCTTTCCTGGATTTTTACTTATCACATACTTTTTTTAATCTTCAAATTTGCTAAAGCTTTATTATTTTGGGTCTCCAGTGAAAACACTGACTGTTGGAAGACTCATAACTTCAAATTCTGAAAACAGTTACAGGAAGGGTAGAAAAATAAACACCTCAAATTATTTTCTCCAAGCAGTAGCCCTTAAACCTCAGCAAAATGAAAACGATAAACTTACATCTAAAAAAAAAAAAAGTCTAACTTATTACATTTAAGGTTTTGCGAAACTGAAAAGAAAGGCAACTTACAGAGTCATGGGTGAGGTATGTATCGCAGTAGTCACAATAAAACCTGGAAAGAGATGGAAGGTAGAGAAAAAGAGATGACAACCAGTTGTTCATAGATGCCCATTCCCCGAAGTGCTGTTCACTGAAGGTAAAAAATTAAAAAACCTAGTAACGATTAGTACATGTCAAAGGATCCTTAAATAAACCAGGCTTTTTTGCCAAACGCGAAACATCTAGAACCCCCCCCCCCGGCCTCCTTCCCTTCCCAGACCCTCCCGCTTCCCTAGAAGCTTCAGGAGCCAGAACCCGCTCTGCACTCGCTCCCCGGCCCCCAATTAGTGACTGGGACCGCGAACACCCCCAAACTCAGGCCCCCACTCACTTCGGCATGTTGTTCTGCAGGCCGTTGGCACTCTGTTGGCCACTGCGCGACCGCGCCGCCGGAAATGACGCACACAGCCAGCGCCGACTCCGCGGAATCGCGAGATCTCAAACGCGACTTCAGAAATCCTCCCAGTCATCCAATCAGTATGCCCCGCGCCGCTGCGATGGCGTCACCGGGTCTGTAGCCGAGTGGGGGCGGGGCTTCCCCTTCAGCCCCGCCCCCTCACCTACAGGAAGACGGAGTGCTAAGGGTCCCTACGAGGTTCAATCCACGTGCATTTATTTTATCTCGAGTCCTGAGTCTTCTGGAAGCGTGTTATTCATTCTCTGGACAAATATCTAACAGTTACCCACTGTGTGCCAGGCTAACTACTATAAGTACTGAGGAGAGAGCAGTGGACAAAACAAACAAAATCCCTGTCCTCCTGGAGTTGACATTTGAGTTGGGGAAGACAGAATACTAAAGTCGGTATGTCGTAGGTTAGCTGGAGCCAAGTTCTATGTGGGGTGAAAAATGAATCGGGAAAGCGGGAGTTCGGTTTAAAAAAACAGAAAGCTTGCCCCGACCGGTTTGCTCAATGGATAGAGCGTCGGCCTGCGGACTGAAGGGTCCCAGGTTCGATTCCGGTCAAGGGCATGTACCTTGGTTGCGGGCACATCCCCAGTAGGAGGTGTGCAGGAGGCAGCTGATGGATGTTTATAACTCTCTATCCCTCTCCCTTCTTCTCTGTAAAAAATCAATAAAATATATTTTTAAAAAACACAGAAAGCTTGTTATGAAGGTGACAACTAAGAAATAACAGGTTGCTTAAAGCCAGATGCAAACAATTTTACATAGCATGTCTTTTTAAAATATATATATCTTTTTATGGATTTCAGAGAGGAAGGGAGAGAGAGATCAATGATAAGAGAGAATCATTGATTGGCTGCCTCCCGTACACCCCCTACTGGGGATCCAGCCTGCAACCCAAGCATCTCTTTTTTTGAGCCTCATTAACCCCAGGAGATAGTAGAATAATCAGTTTCAAGTCCCATTGCGGCTTCCTAGCTGTGCTGCTTGTGCAGTTTCCTCCTCTGAAGAATAGTGTGGCTCAGTGGGTGACAATATGGATAATCGTTCATATGATTTGTGGGGTTTAAGGAAGAATTAAATGTGAAAATGTTTGTAAAGTGTTAGTGCAATGTCTGTACATACTCAGCCCTCCCCAAATAGTAGTTATCTTTACTTAGGAGGAAATTGATAGAAGTTACTTGTCCACAAATATAACCTGTTCTAACAACAAAGGCCAAACTCCCAGCCCAAACTCCCAGCCTGGTCTATCAGACTCCAAAATGAAACTGGGGAGGAGAAGCTTTTGATTATTCTGCTTCACATTTTCTGATGGTGGAATAATAATAATTGCTACTTTGAATGTTTACTATGACCCAGGGGCATGAAATGCATTAATTATTTAATCTACTCAGCAACCGTGTTATTCACATTTCAGGTGAGGAAATTGAGCTTTAACAAGTTTAAGCTTCCTGATCCTGAAAGAAAAGTTAACTGCACAATGATGTTATCAAACGTCCGCCACCCTAAAACAGTGGTAAATCTTAGCATTAGTAATGCTAAGAGCAAGCAGTCAGATACTGTGTGTCTCCTTCTGGGCTGTCAACATTAAGTAGACACCATTAACTATGATGTATTCTTTTTTTTTCTTTTTAAAAATATATCTTTATTGATTTCAGTGAGAGGAAGGGAGAGGGAGAGAGAGATAGAAACATCAATGATGATAGAGAATCACTGATTGGCTGCCTCTTGCACTAGGGCAGTGGTTCTCAACCTTGGCTGCACATTAGAATCACCTGGGAATCTTTTTATAATCCCTGATTTCTGGGCCTCATCCTCCAGAAATTCTGTTTCTTTGTTATGTGGTGGGGCCACAACATTAGTAACAAAGAAACAGAATTTCCGGAGGATGAGGCCCAGAAATCAGGATTTTAAAAAGATTCCCAGGTGATTCTAATGTGCAGCCAAGGTTGAGAACCACTGCACTAGGGATTGAGCCCGAAACCCAGGCATGTGTCCTCACCAAGAATTGAACCATGACCTCCTGGTTCATAGGATGATGCTCAACCACTGATCCATGCCAGCCAGGCACTATGATGTATTCTTACCAATCAATAAAAAAATATTTAAAATATTCCTATATAATAAAAGGGTAATATGCAAATAGACCGAATGGCAGGACAACCAATCAAAGTGTAATATGCTAATGATATGCTAAGATTGCTCAACTGCTCGCTATGACGTGCACTGACCACCAGGGGGCAGACAGTCAACCAGTCAACCAGTTGCTATGATGTACACTGACCACCAGGGAGCAGATGCTCTGACTGGTAGGTTAGCTTACTGCTGAGGTCCGGCCAATCAGGACTGAGCTAGATGAGCCGAACATGTCCTGGAGACCTCCTGCGGTCCCTCTCCAGCCCAATTGTGCACCAGTGGGGTCCCCCAATCTGGCCTGAGCCCTCTCACAATCCGGGACCCCTCTGGGGATGTCGGAGAGCAGGTTTCAGCCCAATCTCACAGGTCACTCCCCTTGGGAGGGTGCCAGACGCAGGGCTCATGGCTGGTGAGCACTGCTATGGCAGCACAAGCCTCTCCTGATCGGGACTGATTGGGCACGAGCCTGCAGCAGGCACAGTGGGCTGGGATGAGCAGGAGCAGCAGGTAGGAGCTGCAGGTGGCGTTGGACTGTGGGTTTTGGCCTGATCCCTGCAGGCCACCCAGAGGGACCCCACCCATGCTATGGAACTCAGAGGCATCTTTCCTCTCCCTTCGAATAAGAGACTTGAGGCTCACTTTGCAGACATCATTGGCTGCTGACTCTTCTACCTTTTAGGGCCCAGGGGTGGGCAAACTTTTTGACTCGAGGGCCACAATGGGTTCTTAAACTGGACCGGAGGGCCGGAACAAAAGCATGGATGGAGTGTTTGTGTGAACTAATATAAATTCAAAGTAAACATCATTACATAAAAGGGTACGGTCTTTTTTTTTTTTTAGTTTTATTCATTCCAGAAGGGCCGGATCCGGCCCGCGGGCCGTAGTTTGCCCACGGCTGTTTTAGGCACTCTTCAGAGTCTACAGTTCTTAATTCCAATTCCAGACCGCAGGGCCCTGAAATGTTGGGGGGAGGCTGGATCCCAGAGGTGGACTTGCTTCTGCACTCTCGGCTGTACTTCCAGCTCAGAGGGGGCTCCTCTGTGGACAGATGGCTCACTAGGGAGGATCAGACCATTGTGATCTATTTCCTAACTTTTCTGTTTGAACCGAGACCTCGCTGCCATGAAGGGGACTGAGAAGGCTAAAACTTGACCTTTGTATTTGGAAACAACAGCAGGACATAGGGCCAGTTGTAGAAGCTGCCACCAGGCCGCCAGGTGGGTGTGAACTAGCTGTGGCTGAGAACTCATGACCGTGGCTGGTGAGAGGAATGGGAATCCTGCTGAGGACTTCACCCAATCTTCATCGCACTCTACCCTGCAATTGAGAGTTGACCTAGCTGCTGCTTCCCAAGGCCAGTGCCTGGAGACAAGGCTTTTGCCACCTAGCCTGAGCAAGTGAGAGCAACACTGGGACACACTGAGGATGCCCATCTGGCACCTATAGGATGGCAGCACAGCCCATTCGTTTTTGCCTGGTGGAGTAGCGGGGGAAATAATTATTCTTCAGGTCTGCTGTCATTGTCTTGCCTCCCTCACAGTACACAGAGAGTTCACTGATGGGAACGGAAAAAGCCAAAGCCCCAAGGCCAGAGGAGCAAGTTCTTTTTTATCTTTTTAGGTTTGTTTTGGATTTTCAAAATTTCAAGTATGGTTGACATACACTATTATAGTAGTTTCAGGTGTGCAACATAGTGATTCTACATTTATATACCTTATAATGTGATCACCACAATATGTCTAGTAACTATCTGTCACTGTACAAAGTTATTACAGTATTATTGACTAGGTAGAAGAGTCAGCAGCCAATGATGCCTGCAAAGTGAGCCTCAAGTCTCTTTTTTTTAAAAAAATATTTTATTGATTTTTTACAGAGAGGAAGGGAGAGGGATAGAGAGTTAGAAACATCGATGAGAGAGAAACATCAATCAGCTGCCTTCTGCACACCCCCAACTGGGGATGTGCCCGCAACCAAGGTACATGCCCTTGACCGGAATCGAACCTGGGACCTTTTAGATCACAGGCCGATGCTCTATCCATTGAGCCAAACCGGTTAGGGCTCAAGTCTCTTATTCGAAGGGAGAGGAAAGATGCCTCTGAGTTCCATAGCTCATCTTTTATGTGGCCATGAAGAGGCCTGGAAGGATTCATGGGTATGGAATTCAAGAGACCTGTGTTTTTAGTATCAATTCTTATTACTGACGGTGCCAATACTATCCACAGTTTAAGTATGCTTACTGTGCTAAGTGCTTTATGAAAACTATCTTATTCAGTCCTCACAGCCATGAACCTATGAAGTAGGTACTTTTATTGTCTCCATTTTACAGATGAGAAAGCTAAAACACAAAGAGGTTAAGCAACATCCCCAAAGTCAAAGCAATAGCTTGAGGTACTGGAATTCAAATACAATGCATTTTAGATCTAAATGCCCTGGTTTGGCTCAGCGGATAGAGTCAAATATTGGGATGACACTGTAACCAACTGAGCTCCCCAGATGGGGCCTTAGGTTTTCTTTACTGATGAGGAACCTGAGACCCAAAGAAGTGATATTAAGAACAAAGGGATGCATATATCTTTTTGAATATATGTTTTCATTTTCTTCAAATAAATACCAAGAAGTGGAACATATGATTTCACTTATATGTGGAATCCTAAAAAACAAAACCACATGGCAAAGACAGGATTTGAACCCAGGAATTCAGAGTCCAGTGCTTACGCTCTTTCCACTGAACACACTGCATGTACATCTGAGACCTTCAAAATCTTGGCCTGAGTGTAACCTGGCTCCCAGTAACTCCCGTACTGCAATTGATGAGCTGGAGTTTTTAAATTAAGTACAGTGCCTCAAATCGCGTATATATAGTCCCCCTGCTGGAAGGCCTTTCACCTACAAAGGACAGCTCTATTAAAAGGTGAATCTTAGTAT